GCCACTACACAATTTCTTTCTTTCTTTTGGTTTGTTGAGACAGGGTCTTGCTATGCAGTCCTAGTGGGTTTGATATTCACTACAGACACAAGGCTGGCCTCAAACTCACCACAGTCCTCATGCCTCAGCCTCCCATGTACTGGGATTATAGATGTGAGCCACCATGCCTACTTTGGCCATTACAATTGTGGGACTGATTACAGTTTTTTCTTCTTGTAAAGCTAACCTCATTTTCTCAATTTATACTCAGATAAAAATCCTTTTTGATATCAGATGCATATTCGATAAGGTTAAAATTATAGCAGGTAGTTCTGTTACTGCCATGCCCACTGTGTTCTTTACAGTGTACCAGATAAAACTGTTCTTTTCTAAAACAAAAAATAAAGATTAAAATAATAAATAATTTGTTCCCATGTAAAATCGCAGAATCAATTTTAGTCGTTTAACTTAGAGACAGGATTCTGCATTTTATAATAAAAAGTGTTACATAGACAATATTTGAAACATGATAATACGTGTCACATGATAATACTTCGTGTTTTCTTAGTTTAAATGGCAAAAATGTATGTAGATGAAAAGTTGCCTACCATCCCCTTACCTGTAGACAGCCATTGTTCGGTTTTGTTTATAATCATTTTCTTGTTTCCTATAGGGCCATAAATGAAGTCATGCTTTAATATTCTATTTTGTGTCTGGTTATTTTTCCATGGTAGAAAACACAATCAATCTGGTACTTGTGGCTGTGGTTCCATCCCTTGGGAGGCAAGGCAGGAGAATCTCAAGTTCAAGGCCTATCTGGACTGCTTAGTGAGTCTCTGCCTAAATAAACGGAAAGGAAGGGAAAGAAAGGAAAGAGGAAAGTAAAGTAAAAGAGAAATGAAGAAGCATAACCATTACATTAACGGTTATTTTATTCCATTGCCTGTATGTATAAAGTCCATAAATTTGAAAATATATTCTTTTTGGTCTCCACAACATTGCAAAGATGAGATTATCAGTATTTTCATTGTATAGAAATACATATTTTTAGGTTCAGAGACAGTGATTGCTCCAACTTTACATATCAAGTATTTGATGGGAATAAAGATTGCCCTATGACTTCCTGACTCCAGGCTAGTGATCTTATGAACTAATGTAGATGAAGGGATCCTGGAACATGAATAATGTTATTTATTTTTTGAGAGATAACCTAAAGGTAATCATTGCCTTAGGAGCAACTCCTGATTTGCTTGGATTTAAATCTACAAAAAAGCTTCTGGGGTCACAGACTGAACTTGTATTAATGCACAGCATCATGATAGCACACCAATATTGGTGTGTAATTCAATCCCATTATCAGAACTAATTCTTGATCAGAAAACATAGCATGTAACATTAAAAAAAAAATTAACAGATCAGGGGCCAGAGAGATGGCTCAGCGGTTAAGAACACTGGCTGTTCTTGCAGAAGACCCAGGTTCATATCCCAGCACCCACATGGCAGCTAACAACTGTCCAACCTCCAGTTCCAGGGGATCCAACAGTCTCTTCTGTCCTCCATGGGCATTGCACGACATGGGTGCACTTACCTACATGCAGGCAATACACGCATACACATAAAATAAAAATAATAAAAATAAAATATTTAAAAAAAGAAAATAGATCATTATTGAACAAGAGCATCAACTCCTCTCCAATGCAACAAGAGACCCTGGGGTATAAGCACTGATCTTGTCACATTATCCTCATGGTATTTTCTTTCCCTGAATGGTGACTAGAAAGTCCTGCAGTGACAACATCTTGCAGTGTCTTACTAGGGACTCTAACCTGGGGCCCTGACCGCACAGGATGATTAAATTTATACTTTTGAAGAGTTTATGTGATTTTGTAATTCGTTATTTTCTTTAGATTTTTCTAGTCCCCAACCACTGTTTTATAAATCTATGGATTTTGATTATAGGGTTCAGCAAATATTCTGTTGGATTCTTTTTTCTATATTGTCTAAAAGTGGTCTAAATTCACAAGTAGCTCGTTTGCCTTCTCATTTGCTTCTTGGGCCTTTCACTGTCATGCACCATTTTCTATTCAAACAGCTGGAGAGATGACTTAGTGGTTAAGAGTGCTTGCTGTTCTTCCAGTGCACCCAAGTTTACTTCCCAGCACCCACATCAGGTGGCACACAACTGTCTTTAACTCCAGATCCAGGAGATCCAATGCCCTCTTCTGACCTCCACCAGCATCTGCACTCACATGCACATTCCCACACACAGACACACACTCATACATATAATTTAAAAATAAAAATAAATCTTAAAGTCCCCCTTGGTCAAGATTTGGTTCACCTCCCCAGGCAACTGTCCTTGTGGTACTTCAACGACCCTTCAGCAGTCCTGGATAATTTAGGGGGAGAGGCTTGAGATTGAAAATCCATGCTGAGAATTTATTCTTGTATGGTTCATCGATGAAACTGGCAGGTGTTTATTAAAAGACAACTTTCACGAAAGGTAAAATTGGGTGAGGGATGTAACTCTTGCCTAGCATGCATGAGGCACCAGGTTCAATCTTAGTAACACACCCTGGCTTGCAGTATCATTCTCTTAATTAAAGACTTAGTTTCTGTAAAGAACTAATTTGGCTTATCAAAAATGGAATATAGTATAGAGAATTCCCATATAACACACTCTTAGTTTGCCCTTTTATTAACAGCTTGAAGTAGTGTGGTAGATTTGTTAACAACTGACAAATCAGTTTTTGATGCATTATTATTAACTAAAGTCCATAATTTACATTAGGGCTCATTTTTGTATGTTTAGTTTTATGAGTTGTTATATGCATAACGTCATGTAGTCATCATTATAGTATCACATTACAGATTTACTACCCTCATAAATGTCCTATATTCTATATTTTCCCCCTTCCCTGTTTGACTACCCTGGCAAACTGGAAACTACTGATCTTTTTCACTGTCTCTACAGGCTTACCAATCACTGTTTTAGTCTCTTGTCCATTTGGGTAAGTACTCTGCACATGCAGTTTCAAGACAAGTATTTTTTTTTCTTTTCTCTTTGCTTAGTGG